ATTCGTAACTTTTAAGTTTTATTTATTTAATAGTTTAAAATACATTTTTTTTTATAATTTTAAATAAGTTTATCGATAACTATCTTTATTTGTCAAAATTTAGGATTTTTTTTATCAGTTAATTTTAATTACATTATTTTTTTGTCACAACCAGTTGACTACGTTCAAATATTTATTCATTTTGATTAATCATTAGTTCTGATAAATTGCATTTTTTACATATCATTAGCTACGTTCATTATACTTTTTAATAATCATTTTATTTGTCACATTTGTTAATATTAATTTTAATATTTTGCACAGTTTAGAAATTCATTCGAATATGGATAAGATTTCATGCACAGATATTTTTAAAGGCAAGTGATTTTGGCGCACGATTTAAAAAAAATAATATTATACTATAGGTAACTTTTTATTTTCTATATAAATAATGACTTATTCATTAGGTCAAAGATGGTTGATAATATTTTGGACATTGAGAGAAACAATTTCAGATAGAAACTTAATCTTTCTCTCATCCTATAAGCTCTCATAGCCACCAGTCCCAAAACCACCCTCGTCCCCGGCGAAACCTCAATCCAAAACCCCACTGAAATAGACCAAAAACAACAGCCAAACAACCTCCGAGAAACCCCAACACAAACAACCTCAAAACCCCACCCCGTCTCCGATCGGAAACAGCCAACAATACCTCATTTCCGGCGAAACCAGACCAGACCCACAACCACCTGAAACACCACCTAACCATACAAACAACAACACAGCCACCTGAAACGCCACCAAACCATACAAACAACAACACAACCAGCTGCCACCAAATCCAAACGCCCCTTCGCCGTTTCCGATGAACTCGGGAGAAGCCCACAGTCATGAACCAGATTTCAACAAGACCACGAGCTCCGGCGAAACAACAACCAACAAAATGAGACCAACAACTCTATTTCCGGCGAGGTTCGCTATTCGGTTTACTGTTTCTTTCTTTATTTTTTATTATCATTTTCTATTAAGATTATCTTTATGATTCGTGGGTGATTTTTTTAAGACAATTGTTTTCCCTCTCATTTATTTAGCTTTATTATATTATCGTATCTTTATAGTAGAGTTATTTGGTATGAGTATTTTTTTTATCCGGTGATCAAGTTGATTATCCAATAAATCTATTATTAAGTTCATTTAGCTCTAGTGTTATTTAATTTTCACATCTAATTCATCCTAAGCTCTTTGTTTTTGTTTGTTGATTTAATTTTATTCTAAATTATGATTAATACTTATAACTGCCCTAGTTTTTTTTTTTTTAGCATTATTGTCATTTGATATTTTAATTCCTAAATTTGTTATATACTTGTTTGGTTGATTTGATTTTGTTCATAATGTTAGGGCGTTTTTCTGGTTGGATTTATCTCCTCCAAGAGATTTTATCAAGTATTTTAACTACGTGTTTGTTGGTTTGTTGTTGGCTTATTTTTATTTCATGTTTGGATTGTTGATTTTGTTAGATATAAGAATATGAATGAATTATGTTGTTAGGTGGTTATCATTTGGTCACTGACCACGTTATTGTATATCACTATTAGCTTTGTGTTACTTTGTGTTTGAAAAGAAAAATGTTATGTGAAAATTAGCCAATATGAAAAAAATTCTCCGTCGATTTTTGAGGCATTCACATGTTAAAAGACAGAAATTTACTTTATGTTTTTATTTTATTTGTTAAAATTGGCCGATGAAGAAATTATCGTTGATTTCCAAGGCCTCCCATGTTAATAAGACGAGTTTTTATTTTTAAGTTATTATTTGATTCATTTATTTTATTTTATTCATATATATTTACTAAGTGTCTTTACAGGTACCCGGAGTTGCTTCTCATTGAAGCCATTCGAATAAAGTTGTTATTTGATTCAATTATTATGTATATTGTTAACGATAGGCAAACATTAGGTCCTTTCTCATACTATTTGTTTACCAATTTGAAAAAAATGAATTCAGTCGGGACCCACAGTTGTGGATTTCCAAGGATGCCTAACACCTTTCCTTCGAAATAACTTGAACCCCTTACCTAGAATCTTGGTTTCGTAGATCACTTAATGATTTCCTAGTTTTTCCTAAAATTAGGTAGTGACTCCTTTAAAATTCGTTTATTCTTAAAATTCTTTTAACATTGAATTAATTGATTATTTTTCGAGTCACCGCGACGTTTCGCCCTATTTGAATAGAGTATGAATGTAAATATCCATCACCTAATTAAAGAGAAAAGTTACATAATAATAAATTTAAAAAATGACAATAATAACAAGCGAAATGGAAAAAAAAAAAAAACATAAAGATAATATACTTGTTAATTTACATAAGAACTTCATAGCCTTTTGCAAACTTTGAGTGAAATAGATACAAAAACTTTTTCATCACTTGATTGACATATTTGATTCCTCCAAATGTATCACTACCATTCTGATTTTCCTACTCAAAGAATCATTTTTCTTAACTTATTTTTTATATACATATATAGGTTGTTTGTAACTTTTTTATTTCATTTAATTATTATTTATTACAGAGATGTTTAATGCATAGTAAGACGTGACAGACCAATTATCAACTTTTGGGCTTCTTCCATTTATGGTTCTCCTTAATTTTATTTTATTTTATTTTATTTTGATAATAAGAAGATGAAAAAAAAAATAGTAAGAAAAGCATCAACATAATAAACACTTCCATGAGCAGCAATCGCCATTCAATAGTCTTAATATAATTTTTTAAGAATCTAAGTATCAACACAATAAACACTAAAAACATGACAACTTAAAATGTCAATGTGTGCATTTCAACAAAAGCTTATAATATCTCTATTTATAGGATTACAATATAATCCAGAGTATCAAATAATATCATTAATATGACTGTTAATTATTTTAGAGGTTATCATAATAAAAAAGTTATGGGAGTAATAAAAACAAAGACCATTAAGTTTAACGTTTAAAAAAACTTAAAACGACTTAGCATATGACTTGCATGTAAATAAAAAAGAAAAATAATTATACCTTTCCGCCAATAATTTTGCGGGACCTTGTTTAAATTTTCTCACTAAATTGCCAGACCGAAATTCGATCAGTTTATCAAATATCATGGAGAAGATGATATTTCCCAATCAAAAAAAGACACATGCTAGAAAACAATTAAATTTCATATAAGTAAAAAAGCTGAAAGCAATATATAAGCTATAAAATGCTATTTTATTAAGTTACAATAAAATTTGTGATTCTTGGTCAAAAAGATGAGCAAGTTTCAACTAGTTAATCCCTAAGCTCAACTATACATATAAGTTTGATCATTTCATTTGTAACAAAATTTTCTAATTCCTCTATATATAGGACATAATATGAAATACCAAAAGATATCATCAATATGACTATGTGAATATGAATTAGGAGTACTTATGATTATCAAAAGTCATGGGAGTAATGGAAATAAAGACAATTAAGTTTTTATATTAAATAATATGAATAAGTGGAGTTGTAATTGACACATTCATTTTTAAACAATAATAATTATAAAAAAAAATGAGAAAAAAGATAAATAGAATCCTTAGGCAAAGAGAGGTACCACATAACTTTTCTTTTATATAGCTTTATAGTATATATAGATTGGAAATTGAGATATGCGCACAAAATGTAGGCTAGACAAGTAATATACTCACACCAACCCAATCGTGAAAAAATATTGCGACTATTAGTGCAAGTGATAAGAAATAATGATCTCGAGTCAAGTTGAAGCTGTCATTTTTATTTTCATAACAGGAATAAGTACACCACAAAACCAAGCAATTTGCCCCTCATCAAAGGAAAGCATAAGCAAAATAGAAACCTTTGTAACTAATGGCTTAATAAACTACAAGTAATTCTTTCCTCATTATGATAACGCCAATGCTGGAATAGCTCAGTTGGTTAGAGCGTGTGGCTGTTAACCACAAGGTCGGAGGTTCAACCCCTCCTTCTAGCGTTTAAATTTTCCTTTTTTCTCGTAGTCACATATGTATCATTTCTTCAACTATTTTTTCTCTCTCTATTTGATTTAACGTGAATATTTCAAAAATTCAATATTTAGTTGCTTGTTATATAAGATTTCTTGAACTCAATAGATATGCACAATGGTACATAATATATAATTTAATGCAAACATCGAGTGAAAAAAAATAAAATTCTTGACATGGTTTTTAATGATATATTTAGATCAACAATGATATCAAGTCGTCTAAATTTACAAGTTACAATGGGGAAAATTGGATCAACCGAGAACATGTTATGCAAGACATGACTGAAAATTACAAAATATTCAACAGTAATGTTAAGTCGCATTAGAATTAATTAATCACTTCAACATGCCTGCATGATTGAAGTTGAAATTCACAAAGTTAAACTTTTTAACTTTATATATCCGAATATGACGTTTTGCTTGTCAAAGTCAATTCAAACCTACACATCTGATTTTGCATTTGAATGACATCCAACTCTAGACATAACATAAGTGTCTAAAATTAACATAACTTTAACGATAGATTTAGAGATAATTGATGATAAGAAATTGCTTTATGGTTGACAATCATTGATTAAAATGCGTACTTCTTGTAATTGTCGTTGTCTTGTTTGAATTAGACACAATGTTAATTTTGTTTAAAAATTGAATATTCTCTTAAATTATTCTATTTCAAAAAAGTATGTATTCCAAACCTTCATTACTTAAAGATGGTTCCAATTTTTGTTGAAAATTAATCCTGCCAATAAAACTAATCATCTCTTCACATACATTGCACTTCTATCAGTTCCACTCATCAGCCTTGACAATTGTTCAAATAATGACTAAAATTTAAATGTTGATGATATTAAAACTTTTAACATATGTAAAACTGGCTATTCATGCAAATTGTAACCATTTCACAAGTTCTTAAACCCAATGGGCCGTTATTCAATCAACTAAATCCAGCCCATTATAAAATGTACAACAGCCTCATCTTTTATACTCCTCAAAACCCTAAAGCTTTTCTTCTTACTTCCGCAAACAAAGCTTTTGGCTCTCACACAAACATCAGCTCTGTAGTTGCCTCTCACTAGCAGGTACTTTCTTCTCTTCAGGTTTTACGGCAAAATTCAACCTTTTAGCATTATTTCTCTTAGCTTGAAGAAAATGATTAGTTCTATTTCTTTAGCTTTGTGTTATTGATTATTTGTAAAAGCATGAAATAGATGAAATTAAGGGAGGTGTTTTTGTTGATTTCGAAGAAAGATGACGTTTTTCCTCAACCCCTTTTGAGATTATCGATTGGGTTGATTTTTTTTTTAATGGAAAGACCATTGCGTTGATATTAAATGTGGTTGAAATGAGGATTTATATAGCTGGGCCAATTTATTTGGAATTGAGGCGTAGATTATGAATGATTGATATGCCGTTTTATAGTAGAACTAAGAAAAAAATATTTGCTGTGTTGAGTTGTATATTCAGGACAAATGAAACTTTGCTTATTTGGACTGGCTTTTGCTGATGCTATTTATTTGGACTTGTCCTTAGTTTCTGTTTTGATTGGTTCAGTGAACAGATCTGTGAAGATGTACACGTCGAAGCAAAAGATTCACAAAGATAAAGATGCTGAACCTTCTGAGTTTGAAGTGTCTGTTGCACAGGTTATGTTTTGTTCTTACTTGATGGCATTTGTTATTTAAAACCTGAATAGTTCATTGGATAAATGTTTAAAGGAAATTATTAAATTGTTTCTGAACAGGCTTTCTTTGATTTGGAAAACACCAACCAAGAGCTGAAAAGTGAATTGAAGGACCTATACATCAATTCAGCAACGTATGTGTGCTGTATTCTATGTTTTACTGTATTTAATGGCTTCGATTCTATATTGTAGGTAGTATGTATTTTGCACATTGTAATAACTGCCTCTGTGTCATGGCTATTGCAGTCAAATTGATGTGTCAGGAAACAGGAAGGCTGTTGTTATCCATGTTCCCTACAGACTGAGGAAAGCTTTCCGCAAGGTTCATGTTCGCCTTGTTAGGGAGTTGGAGAAGAAATTCAGTGGCAAGGTAGCTATTACATTGTTTCTGTAATTTTTGTCTTTAACATTGCCTTAGAGAATTTCCGAAGAATTTGGTATCTATCATTTAATCTGAAATGCATACTATATTAGTTCATCCATGGTTATTGAAGTTAGTGGTGTTCTCTAATAGAATCATTCTTCATTATTAGTTTAAGAATTGATTCCTTCAAGGCGCTGCACTTTTGGTTTCTACAATGTTTACCTTTTGGTATTGGCATTTTGGAATTCACATACTTTGGTTTAGTCCTATAGTGGTATTGACATATTTTTCTATTTCTTGCTTCCCCTCCTTTTTTGAATTATATCTGTGGTGCTATTCTGATAATAGCATCATAATTTTCTAAATAGTCTTAATGGAGCCCAACCTTCCTAATCGTATTCAGCTGGTCATGTAATCATGGCAAAATATTTTCTAGGCCTTGTTCATATTTACTGTATAATATTTGCACTGCTTGTAGGCCCCAATTACCTGTTCAATGTTTTAATATGTAGTACTTAATAGAGTAAATATTTGATTAGATGGCCTCCCCTTTGTTAGGAAAACAATGAGGGCAAATGTTTCCTATTCTGAAGCTTTAAATGTTACATTGTATTTGCATTAATTTGTTGGGGTAACTATTCTTGTTTTGTTTTACCATGTAGTGTGGGGGCTTCCTTGCCTTTGATTAAATTTTGATTTTTGTAGGATGTGATCTTTATTGCCACCAGGAGGATAGTGAGACCTCCTAAGAGAGGTTCAGCTGCTCAACGACCCCGCACCAGAACTCTTACATCTGTTCATGATGCCATATTGGAGGATTTGGTTGTCCCTGCAGAGATTGTTGGGAAGCGTACTAGGTATCGCGTTGATGGCTCCAAGATAATGAAGGTAACGTTGTGATGCACCATAGTTATCTGTATCTTCCTGCTTAAATGTTTACTGCTGCAATCAAGTGGAATAGTCTTTAGGGTGAAATAATAGTACTGCTTGTACATTTTTCACAAATGTCAGAACTATTAACTGTGTGGTTTTCTTTATTATATCATTTTAAAGTGAGAACTTGTGTTATCTTTACCTTTAAAAGTGCAGCAAGCTCTTTTCTTGTTTTCCTGACTTGTTTCTTATCACTTTTTTGGGTATAGGTGTACTTGGACCCCAAGGAACGAAACAACACAGAGTATAAGTTGGAGACCTTTTCAGCAGTTTACAGAAAGCTTTCAGGCAAAGATGTTGTGTTTGAGTACCCCATCACTGAGGCTTAAGTTAATGTAATGCTTGTCCTCGTCTATTTGATGTGAAACTACACATTAGCGGTTCCTCCTTTGAAATTTTGGCAGTTCCATTTTGTTTTAGAATGCAGGGAACTATGTGAAATTCCTATCAATTTTAAGTTAAAACCATGTTGCTATGTCATAGATTTCGAGTTTGTTTATTGAAACTTGGTTTCATTTTCTCTCTCTCTCGCTCCCCTCCCCTTCCTCTATTTAGGTAACTGTCAATGTCTATTTGGTGTTTGCTTTTGAGATGTCTGCACAAGATTGATTTATCAATCCATTCTGGTTATTTGTTACCAAAAAGTCATCAAACTTGTGTTCCTGGTGAAAGTTTTTTGTCTGATTACTGATTGCAAGATCAGCGAAAGGCAGAACAAAAGATATTGTTAGTTGTGTTGTTCGCACTATATACTGCAATCCCTTGTGATAAATATATTCCAGCCCCTGTCAAAAGGATGCCTACTTGGTTTACAGTCCACTATAATGCCTATTGTATGCAACCCATTTACCTTCACAAGGTAGGGGTAAGGTTGCATTATTCTTGGACCCATCTTGTGAGATTGTATTGGTAATGTTAGTTTTCTTGTTCAGGAACAAACAACTATTACTTTCCAGATGTCCTCAAGTGAATCAATCAAACAATTTTTGAAGGTTCAACTTTATCATAGTACTATCTCCTGAGTACTGCCTCTCTGAGTTTCCTTTTCTACTTTTGTCTTCCTCTTAAGGAACAGTGCCATCAGAAATTGGTTAATACATGTTCTTTTCTTCTCAAATTACATTGTACTCTATTGAGAATTTGAGATACCCTATCATGGAACGATTCCAGTTTTGTTTTCTGCTAAATCAAATGACCTTAGTTCTTGACGATTCCTCGACTAGAATACCAATATATCAAATGAAAATTTAGTTTCTTTTGTGCAGAGTGCGGAGGGAAAGACAGGACTTAAGGATGGATGCAAACAATTGTGAAATATGCAATTGGTGTAGGAAATGGATTTGATTAAAATGTACATCATACAAGAAACAATAAGTCAATCCAGTAAGTTTTACAGTTTTGAGCACAACGCTTTAAGAACTCCTTTACAATGCAACTTTTAAGTAACATAAATCGTCTGCTTAGTTGACTGGGAAACCCACTATATGGACAATTGTTGATAAATGGTTTCAGCAGAATCATGTACACAGAGGAAAGTTCAACCATAGAGGACTGAATTGTTAACCTCAACAACAACAAGTTATTAGCAGATCCAGATTATTTTTAGTAGCTCTCTAACACCTTCAACCCTGAAAAGGTTGAATTCCTGTAGAGGGGGAGGGGGTGAGGGAGGGAGCATGGCTGTGTAAATACAGCTTTCACTAGAGCAAGAATGTGCCTAAAATGAAACTGTTAAGACCTTTGTTGATGCATATGAATCATCACATCCCAATTGGACAAATTGTTCTATTTCCCATGAAAGTGAAAATGAAGGTATATAGTACAATTAATCTACAATTCTTAAAACACTGAAGAGGAAAATATTCCAAAAAAACCTACCAACGAAGTCATCTAAGCATAATTTTGGACATTGTGCCCAAATCCTGTATAAATAAAGAATAAAAGAATAAGATTTGACTTGTAGATGGTTGGAAAACTTCAAAGGATGGAACTAAACTTTTCGATGGGATCAGACTCTTCAAGCATGGAAGCTGCCTGGAAACAATCAGCAGCATCAGCTACCCGTCCATCGTCTCTATGAACCAATCCCAAGTGGTACCAAGCTACACGATTGGTAGGTTCAATCCTCAATGCATCTGAGAGTAATGCTTTTGCCAATGGCAACATCCCCGGGTCCATTTTAGTCAATAAAGAACCAAGCAAGATCTTACACTGCACATGATTAGGCTCTACTAATAGTGCATTAATATAAGCAGACAACGCTTTGTCATTTTCTCCCTGTCTTTCAAACATCATTCCTGAAACAGATTGACATAGAAAAATCAGCAGAAGTAATATCCTACTTATCTTATTCTCTCCCATTAAGAAGGAAGCTCTTAGGTTTCAATGACAAAAACTATTGTACATGCAAACAGCCCTATCACACCTCTTATGTCGGTAATTTTTTATCAGTACTAGACTACTGGTCCAATAGTTACAATCTATCCACCATAACCACAATACAGAGGAATTTGTTTGGCGAAATTAGCTCTCTTTTAAATGTCAGCTCTTTGCTGACAATGACGTCTGAAAACCAGAAAAATTGTCATCATTTTCCTAGAAATGAGAAACACAACTACAAGTAACCTAAAAAGTCTATTAAAAACAAAAGTTTCTTCACGCTCCTTGTTTTCAAACTTTAGTTCCAGCGCATTCTTACTCTTTGCAAAACTTTGATGGCACAATGGAATATGGATGCCATACACCAGGTTCAGTCTTTAAAAGAAAACTAATTAAGATTTTGCTTATAGCAACATTTACTCAAATTTTCAGCAACTTCATTGATACCATAGTTTGTGAAGTTCTACACCCTTTCCCAAGAAAGAAGAAACAACACAACTATATATAACAACTGTCTAAATTCCAAAATAGTGGGGTCGGTTAACTGAATTCTCAATATTTATCTCATTCCAATACTATAAAAGGTTTGCTAAGTAGAGATTCTCTACATTTTTGTGGACATATTAAATCTTTAAACAAACTAAAAAGACTTCTTATAAATACCGGTTTTGTTAATAGCTTGGTAAAGGCCCTTTGTGCACTTCGACTCGATAATTGTTGCTTTAGTACAGGCGTCAAGACGCTAACGCAAGTGCACCTTCACCAATACTTTCTGTCTTTAAGGAAGAAACAACATATCTTTTGTCTATAGTTAATTTTTCTTGCATTACATTTCCATTTTTTAATTTATTCTTCATTGGCGGTTTTCTTTGCTAAAGCCCACACTTTAATTAAGCTTTGCACTTTCTTTGGGTTTTTTACTTTTGACTACTTTGGTAAATAACAGACCTAGTGTAAGTGTACAAACACGACTAAGCCTTAATCCTATTTACTAGTTAGTTGGTATCAACCTATATGAATCTTTCCTGTGTTTCAAACCCTTGAGATTTTATATCTCTTTGGAACTCTTGTATTAGGATCAAGTGTGCATCAAAACTAGTAATTCAGAAAATTCTCAGATACCAGCTACAAAAACATTGATGGGACGCAGATGCTAGAGGAGGAGGAAGACAAACATGCTCGAACTTCACAAGGTACAAAGTAGAGAAGCACCATGCACTATCTGAACCCTCCTGCTATTACTACTACTATAACTAAAAATACAATTATATAAATATTTACACTACTTTCCATGACTAAATAAGGAATCTAATGTTATGTAGATCTCAGTATCTCACAAGAAACAGTCTTAAAAACATATGGAAGTCTGAAGTTCCCAGTCTAACAGGTTATCTCCCAGGTCATATAAGGTGCAAAGAAAGAAAAAGCTACATTTTAATTCAAATGTATACGACCAATTCTATACTTTATCTGAACCCACCAAAGATGAGCAGATTTGCATTGATGAGGTAATTTTCCAAGTCCTGTAAACAACCACTGTTTTCAGTCTTTAGTTGCAACTCACCTACTCTTACTTATTCTAAATTTAATATCGAGTAAAGAAAACGAGGGAAGAAAGTCAATAATTTTTTAAAAAAAACAACAGTTGGATCAGTCATTGTGAGTTAAGTTAATAATCTTGCCTTCTGTATACAAAGTGTCTGCTGAGTACTCGATAAGACCTCTAGCTTTCTCCAAACATGTCTCTGCATCCTTAAAATGTGAAAGGCTAGAGTACAAGTCTGCCAGTCCATGCCAAACTTCATATTCATTTACCTTATCTTCCTCCACCTGTAATAGACAAATACAAAAAGAAAATAATTCAATGAAGTCAGAACTAGAAGCATCGTATGAATGGCAAAGCATATTCTGTTGTTTCACGATTGAAGCTAAAAAGTTTTCAGTGGTAAGGCACCAAAGTGAGTTACAGAATTCTGACAGGCAAACATAAACAGGTTTTATACTGGAATATGTATTTTTCTCTTCATTTGTAAGACCATTAGAATAAATATTAGAAAGGAATCTGCACATATTCAATCTCATTTTTTGATAACATAAGGAAATCATGATGGAGCTGAAATTAAGTGTACTGAAATACAGAGTAGTATCTATAAAGCAACGAATTGGGCAGACGAGCCCATTCATTCTTTCATACATTAGTTCCATTCACCCCTCCTTTTTCCCTTTCCACCACTCATTACAAAAAAATCACTCAAAAGTCTCAAACCACAGTACCAACATGCACCTTAATAGACCCAAATACAACGACCTTTTTACTGCAGATATGAACATCAAAGTCATAATTTACAAATGTTCAACCAATTTAATGGTAAATGGTAACACTCATCTATCTGTAGCATGTTAATCTAACAAGAGACTGTGGATTCTAGTGTGTAATGTTGTTGGATCGCAAAAAAACAATTAGTCTTTATGCCAAGAAAAGCTAAAGGATGTTCATGAGAAAATCATGTCATGGTGGAAAAGATCATAGTGGATACGATGACAACCATTAGACAAGTTTAGCATTGGAAGATGGTCTCAGTACTGGCTTTTCATGGATTTTAACCCTCTGTTTATGGTTCTGATGATGTCTGCTAAGGTGGCTGAAACTGGAATATGACTTGCGAGCCAGTGTTGTTGGTAACTGTGGTCATTAATGACTTTTCAAGGTTGTCATACTGATGAAACACTTCTAGTGCCGAGTGAAAGTAATCCCAATGGAGAAACCAGTAGTGGGTGGCAGCTAGTGGTCACATATGGCATAGAAGGGAGGAAACAATCTTTGGTTTGAAAAGATTTTATTGATTTGGTGGAAACTTTTTTTTTGTATGACAGAATTGTGCTGCTTCTGGGTTCTGGCAAACAAGAGAGTCAGGACCAAGTAAATGCTTTAACGAGTTCTTTAATTTTGGGGAGATTGGAGGAGTGGAGGTGGAGTCAAGAATTGGTTTTGAAGTTGAAGCTATTGAATTCAGAATCGGAATCTCATTGAGAAGTGGTTACTTCTATCCCAGTTCTCAGTTCCAAATGCAGACAACTAGGGGCACAAGGGGTTGGGAAGTGAAAAGGAAAATCTGAGACACATATGTTTCCACTAAAGTTACTAGATATACAATCTAACCTGAGGCGCATTTCTGAATGGTCCAAAAGATTTTCTTTGAGCTTGAACCAATGAAAGGAGATGACGATAAGGTTCAACAGCGTCAATGTACCGTGACTGGGATGTTTTAAGCTTAGCTTTCATTCTTAGCAAAGGTCCTTGATCCCACTTTGTAGTCTCATCAAAAGCCGCATCAGTAACTACTTCAGCCTCCGAATAGCGATGTTGAGCAGAAAGAACTAAAGCAAGCAGTCTCCAACCTCTTAGAGTAGATCCTCCTGTTGCATCAACATACTTTCTCGCATATTGCAAAGCTGCATCCAGATTACGGTGCTCTGCATATTGAACGCCTAACTCAAACATCAAATCTGAATTTTCATGCTCTAAAGCCATTGCACCATCTAAAGATTTTAAAGCCTCAGATTGAAGTTGTGATCTCTCAAAGTCGGAGGTTGCAACTTTCGCCTGCTTGCCCAAACAAAGACCTAACACGCGGAGACCAACACCTTTCAAGTGTTCATTTGAACCCTCTGCATTAGTTATCGCCCTCTGTGCATACTTCACTCCCTCAGCTGCAAGAAAGACATCCTCAGAACAAATTTTAGAAGCCAACACCAATGAGAGAACGTCATCTGGCTCTTCATGTTTATGCAGAGACTTCCGCAGCAGACTTAAGGCATTTTTGTTCTGTCCAGCCGCAAAATAACAAAGTGCTAAAGATCGCCAACGATCAATCCGGTTAAGTACCCCTGGCATTACTTCTTCAAGTTGTTTAGCTAAAACAGAGGTTTGGCCGCATACAGACAGAGCAAATGTAAGGTGCTCTAAAACTGAAGGGTCCCATTTGATCTTACCAAGGTAGACTTTTCTCATCAGAATCATTAACAGCAGTATGGCTTCTTCTAAATTGTTCCTAGGTACATAAGAACCGTCAATTTGCACAGCTAAGCTTGGTGGGCAAACCTCAACCCCACTATAAAGCAGAAACACAGCAAAAGCTTTTTGAATCCTGGCACAGCAGTCATTATCGAGATTCCATTGGCTTAAGAGGGCACGGCGATAGGCAGACATTGCTTCAGAATAGGAACCAGCTTGCTTCCATAGCTCTGGAAGGAGCTCAACAGCATGGCTCACAGTTTCTTGCAGCTTATTCTCCACCAGTACATCAGGTATGCCACTATCGAATATCTTCTCTACGGCATCAAGCACACTTAGACATTCACGAGCAGCATCTACAAATTCCCAATTAAAGAAACATCTGTAAATGATCAAATCAAAGAAATACCAAATTTTTCATTACTTTATAAAAACTATTGAAAGTGCCTTCTACCAGTCAGTCTCCCAAGCTTTTGCAGGGACTTCGCTTTCAAATATATGGCCTCAAGGACCAGACCAGCAGCATGCTGTGAGACACCTGGCACAGACTCAATGCTTTTAGTGCGGCCCTTTTTAGAAGGTTGTTTCTCAGTAACAGAAGGCTGCATCCTTTGTATGGCTGCTTGGAGATCAATACCATCAAACACCCTAAGAGCACCTTCCACATTTCCTCTTTGATATTCCAATCTTCCAAGAAGAGCTCGTGCTTCCTGCGATCAAAATTATAATCCATCAGCAAACACATACCTTCAGATGTTTAAGTTTATGTTGATGAAAATCAAGAGCGGAAGGGATAAACTGATAAAGGAAGAAGAAACAGACATTTATAAACTATTACAACTTAAAGAGCTTTCAGGGAAATAAGATAAAATACATTCATTGACTAATGTTCGAATTTACATGCAAATTTAACCAAAATCCAAAGTATAAACATACATAAAATCCTGTCAAAACAAAAGAAGGTTTACTCCACTTCCTTGGTTTCTTTTTCTAGACAAGAAACCAATACCAGTTCAGCTTATTCAATTGAAGTTTGTAAATCCTATAATGCAGCACAGTTGTTGAACATAGACTTTCACCAGAAATATAAAAGCATCACTAAAAGACAACAGATCAGAAAGCTCACAACTCACAGAAACTTTTAGTAAAGCATTATGCCTATAATAGATGGAAATCATACAACATATGAGAACAGACAGGACCAGATATATGGGTATTTTCAAGAATCTGTCATTTGAAGCCAAAGGATTAAAGTGATAGAATCTCAAACTCATCATCAATGGATTCCTTCAAATATTTAAGCCACCAAAAAAAGAATTCTGCCGGCAATCATGAATTTAATGAAAGAGAGCATTCTATCCTAACTTTTACTTCTTTACTTATCACTATGAGTTTGTATAAGCTCTAAGCTTCATAGCTGCATAAATGAAAATTCAATAGGAATGCAAAGAACAAACATAAACTTTGGCAACCACTCACCTCAAAATTGAGGGACAAACCTTCACGCAATGCAGATTCAGCCTCTTGAATGTTTCCCTCATCAAGCTTTGCTTCAACAACATTTGTTTGCATGCAAATCCCATTTGCACAAACTTGCCTAACTGATCGATCAACATCAGCTTGCCCTAATTCTGGTGATTCATTTCCAGACATCTCTGGCCCCACTTTCTATGCTCCTCACTACAATTTTTAAAAAAAGAAAACATCATTAACCATTAAATTTGATCCCTTAGCTTCAATAGCATCAAGAAAATGGTTAATCCCTTTGCCCCATTTCATTCTTGATGTTAATATGCACAACAAACTTCAAATTTACCAACCCATTAGGTGAAAAAGATTCAACATTATTAAAAAAAACACTATATAATGGGGGAAAACCGTTTTTGAATCACAATGCTAAGAATTTATATAATCAAACAGTAAGAGGCGCATAAAAAATGAATCTTGAAAATAAAAACAACTGAGAATTCATAACACAATATATAAGAATCAAGAATTCAAGAAAATGGGAATGGGTATTACCTCAAAATGTTGTTGATTTTAGTGGCAGATAAATGGTTAATTGTTTAAAACAACGAAATGGGTGAAAAAATTTCTGGATCAAGAAAGAGAGAGAGAGAGAGAGGAGAAGAAGAATTTTGGTGACAGCGTTTTGACTTATTACTCGGAATATCCTATGAAAAGAAAAAACAACAACAAAACAAGACAAGTACTCACGGTTCAGGTTTTATATTGCTCCATTTTGGGAATTTTAGAGTTACCGCCAGCGAGATTAATTTTGAAACTACTAGTATTTTTTATCCTCTAATTTCATGTATCATTTCATTTTATTTTTATTTTTTATAATCTTGATGTTCGAGTAACTTGCCTATCAAAGTTAACTATATAATAGTTATTACATGTGTTTTATTTCTATTGAAATTTAAATTTGATACGTGTATAGCCCTATTTTATTGATTACTAGATGATGTATATATTAATTTATATATGATTAAATAATAAACTAAGGTAAGATTAGAGTAGATGTAAAAAAAGATGCAGTTCTTAAGAATCAAATCTCGGATGTCATGGTACATTTTGAATGCCTTGGATCATTGAGCTAATATTTTGTATTTATTATAATGGGATTTATGCATTTTCCCCCATCAACCATTGATGATCTATTACATATCATTACTTATCCAAAATTCACTATTTAGTAGCAGAGGTGTGTAATATGTCACCATATTAGTTTAAGTGTGTAACTGACTTTTCGAAATAAGTTCGAAGGTGAATTTATGTCTTTTCCCTTTTAAATTTATATGTGTACATAGACACAATTTTTTTTAAATAATATGTCATGATCTTTTTTTATTTTTGGTCATTTAATCTAAGATTCACTAACATAAAAACCTATTAAAGAAATACTCTTTACAAGAATTGCTTTTCATTTTTTAAGATTTGAAACTAAAATCTCTTGTTAGGCGAAGAGATTTCATTTATTCCACCGTAACACTTATTATTTTTGGCGAAATTTTTAGCAATTGTCCTTTTATGAAATAGTTATTTAGTAAATAATTATTTTTTTAAGAAAAAGAAAAAATCTCTTACCATTTGGCATTTAAGGACCTTTTTAGACATCTACTTAAAAAATTTCTTTAAGCAAACTGAATATTCTTATGGTAAGTTATTACAAATGGACAATAGTATTTTATCAAATAAAATTGAGCAATATATAAGTAAACATAGAAGAGTGATAGACCCAAATATAAAACATAGTAATTCTTACTAAATTAAAGGTATATTTGTAAACCTTTTTAAAATAAGGATAAAATCTAAATAATAACCCAAAAAAGGGAAATGTGTGTAAGTCAACCTTACTTTTGTATTTGTACTACATATAGAATAGGGAAGTATACATTTTATGTGAGATTAATGCATTGCCCTTATTACTTATTTATCACTACTATCTCTCCCAGTTGATCAAATCTAAAATACTCTGTAGTTTATTCCTTATAATAATAATAAAAATGTTAGAAAAAAACAATTGGGTAGTTCACTAGGCACATGCGTTTGCTTCTAAATTTGTCCGAGCTGTTGATCAAGAAATTAAATATTCTTGTGTGCAGGGCGGAGCTCGGTGCAGTTCATGGGTTTGGATGAATACAATAATTTTTCCATAAATTTTATATTTGTACTAAAAAAATTAAATAAATATATATGTATATTAAGTTATTAACTTGTAAATTCCTACCAAAATTGATTGATGACTCAGTGCCAGTTAGGGGTGTACATAGGTCGGTTTGGTTTGGTTTTTCATTAAAAAAAAAAAACTAAACCAATTATATCGATTTATTAAATCTAAAAACCAAATCAAACCATAAATTCGGTTATTTCGGTTTCGTCTTTAGTCGATTCTTTCCGGTTTTTTCCATTTTTTATAACTATACGGTGTTTGAAAAAGAGATCAAATATATTTTCACTTACATGTGTGATAAGCTAAACTTAAAAAATGTTAAATGAATAGAAATTTTTGAAAAGACGGTAAAATTCACATGAGTACAAAATATTTTTTTTGAAATATCAACGCTCATTATGTTAAATTAATAAGATTAAAGGCTACATGCAAACTGAATACAAAACAAAATATTTTCTATGTAAATTGTTAACTTTGAATTTGAAAAACTATAACAGTATAATTGTAACTTCAGATCTAAATACAAAATAAAATATTTACAAATTTTACAAGCCCAAATTTGAAATAAAATATATAAACATTGAAAACTATAAACTAACTAAAAGTATATTAACAAAGTAAATTATAAATAATATTTTTTATCTATAAATAAACTAAAATTATATATATATATATATATATATAATATTTACAAAATTTTCCAAGCCCAAATTTGAAATAAAATATATAAACATTGAAAACTATAAACTTACTAAAAATATATTAACAAAGTAGATTATAAATAATATTTTTTATCTATAAATAAAACAAAATTATATATATATTATGTCGGTTTGGTTTGGGTTCGGTTTGACTTTTTTTCTTTTAATATCAAATCAAACAAAGAGTGGTCGGTGTTTTCTTCAACCGCCAAACTAACCAAACCAAACTACAAATCATTTTTTTTTTCGATTTAATTTGATTTGTCGATTCGGTTAGACTTTGCGATTTGACTTGTATACCCCTAGTGTCAGTGGTAAGAAAAGAACCATGAAAATGCTTTCCTCCTATGCTTATGTGCCTATTTTATTTATTTATTTATTATATTAAAAATAGATGTTCACATATATTGGTGTAATTTGTTATTTCATTTTATACAAATACCACCAAAAAGGCATCTGATGTTGTAACATAGCAATTTCATTTACCTCTCACCTACAGATTAATGTCAAAAATTAAAAGGCAGATTAATTTTAAATATTACATTCACTTTTCTTATTTAGTTGATCAACATTTCGTTCCAAGTTTGATTGATAATAAAGTAAAGGAGTGACCTTTATTGTAAGTCTTATTATCAAGTTTGATTAATTCCAGTTTCTTTTTGGAAATTGATTAGTGATAGTCATAGTCTTAATAAGATAATTAATATAAGTTGATACGATCATATTTCATTTCTATATTTTAATTTTTACTTGTTCAGATCGGTTTGTATGTTGAAAATAAATTTTCATATCACTTTTACTTGTTAGTTTTTCAGTTGTCATGTGATACCAAAAAGAACAATATACTTTAATATATATTTGTGATATATGCTACACTGCATTCATTTCATATGTGTCAGTCGTAAATTAAGTCACTGGGAATATTATAAGATAAACTCAACGTAACGTCACCACTCTTGTGAACATGTATGGCAACAATATTTATTTTTATTGTCTATATAAACAAGGGAGAGTAATGTCATTTTGTAAATTTAAGTGATTTCAATTCTTTTGGATCGAAGGGGTTTGTTTCTCATTCAAAAGGGGAGGGAATATTGTTTGTTTAACATCGTAAATCGCATATGAGGTTAAGGTTATAAATTTAAATAAAATTTAAGGAAAGATCTTTGATAAACACAATAATTTTATACTAATGATTACTGACTTATGTGACAATCATCATCGACCAATTTCGATATTATAAATTTATCACGATGCCATAATTTCGATATGAGTACTATTTAAAAAGTTTTTCAACTTAGTAATATTCAATACATCTGCATTCCAACAATACATCTGCATTCCAAGTAAATCGCAGCCAAGATTACAGGGACAAGATAAGATAAATAGTACTACTACTACTACTACTTTTAGTACTTTATTTATGTAAATTGTAGTAGAACACCTAGTATAAAACTTGTGCAGACAGAGTCAGTCACAGAGAGTACTGAAATTGGCAGAAAGTAGATAAAACAGATATAATGCTGATAGATAATTAATTCATGAAATATATATATAGTATATGATCGTTTTAGTGTTTTTTTTCTAACACCTGGGGTATGGAACGCCGCAAGAGCGAGCGACTTTCTTGGCCCCAGGAGAGTTAACATACTTCTTTAAAGTTGGGTTCTTGAGGTATTGGCAAAGGCAAGGCTTTTGTTGCTTAATCTTGCTGCAGCAGAGTTTAGATGGTGGTGATGAGGATCTGATAGCACCTAGGCAAGGGCTCAGCTGAACTGGGCTACATGTTGCAGCAAGTGAGATGTGTGATTCAGCAAGAAGCATCAGCACTAGCATTGTCACAAGCACAAGTTTTGATTCTCTCTTCATTCTCAAGTGTTTGCTTAGTAAATGAGAAAGAGTTCGTTGATGGAGCAAATTTGGGATGAGTTGCAGTTGGTTTAGCATTGGCTCAATTTATAGAGGAGGTATTGGTATAATAACCACAACAACATACACAGTGTAATTCTACAAGTCGGGTCTGGAGAGGATGGTGTGTTAGTAGAGAGATTGTTTCTGAAAGATATTCGATCGACTCAATGGTATACGTTTGAGTATTTAAGAAAAAGCTTTGGTTGAAGTAGTTGAGCATGATGTTTAATTACCTCAAACTATATATGATTACTAAGATTATGGTGTCCCACCAAATCCAAAAACCAAACTCACTAGTTCATTCTCCGCTTCAACCAACACACGCGTGCAACCATGGTGCTTCTCCAAATATGGCCCTGCTTATTACCTACTTCTATCTATGCATATTCAAA